CGGGAGAGGTTCTGAATGCAACAAACCAAGGGCCTTCAGACCCGACTCCCAGCAAGTCCAGTTCCTTCCTGTCTATCCCCACTTTGCTCCTTCAGCACCAACCACCCTGACTGAGCAGCAAAAGATTTGTATTTTTCCAGAGGACAATGTCCACTGCCCACAGCCAGTTCCTCAGTCCTTCCATGGTTATTTTAGTTAACTAATCAGTTCCAAACACCCAGAGCATGTTGAGCCATCTGGAGGGATTCGAGTCACATATTGTATGCCTGATGTGCAGATTAAATCCTTCAGTTTGCTCCAAGCCCTAAGTGCAGCCAAATGTTTCCCCCTCCAAAGCCACTTCATGCAAACTTCTTGGAGTTTGGATTTTTGGGAGGAAAGGTTAGCTTTAGTTTTAAGACAGCTGTGCTGGGAACCCTGGTGCTTGCACAGCGATGAATCCCAGAATCCCAGAACGGTTTGTGTTGGAAGGCACCAGTTCAAACCACTTGCTATGGGCAGGGACACCTTCCACTAGCCCAGGTTGCTCCAAGCCCCATCCAAGCTGGCCTTGGACACTTCCAGGGATGGGGCAGCTGAAGGATTGCTCTGGAACCAGGCAGGAGCTGAGCGGAGGGTCCATGGCTGGTGTCTTTGCAAAGCTCTGTGAAGAGCTCTTACCATCATCATCCCTTTCTGGGGCACTCATCTACCTGGCTGGGAAGCATGAAACCTGGGACTGGGGTGTTGCATATTCCCTGATGTGGAAATTCCCTAATTACTAGTAGGGTTTGGGTAAATAAGAGGCTGAGCCAGCTCTCTGGCTGGGTCAGGGAGGATTTAAACTGCTGGAAATTGAATTTACCAAAGATGTTGCAGTATCTCAGGATGCTGTCGGTGCATCAAGTGCTTGGTTTGTGCAGGACACCTGGAATGGGGAAGGAATTTCTTCCTCTCCAACCATGTGGCCTTTAGTAGAAACAACAATCACCTTCAGAGGAGGTTTTCTGTTCTCCTGCTCCCTGACTGGAAGGATACATTCCAACATTCATCTCAGAAGGCTTTATCTTATCGTGGAATTCATCTTACAATAAAAACATCTGGGTTTTTGCACCTGCTGTTGACTTTTATTTGGTTTATGGACCCATAACTCTTGGGCTCCTGGTTTTATATTGTGTGGGATGGATCAGTGCAGCCTCCAGCCAAGAACCTTAACGCACTTGGTAGCTGTGTAAGGTTTAATGACTGTATCTTAATTTAAATAAGATAATCTTGGCTTTTACAAGGGAGCTGAGGCACCTGGAGGAATGTCATTTAGCACAGAACAGGGAGCTGAACTAAGAGAAATCATCTCCTACCTGGCAGAGCTCTCTCCCCGTGGCAGAGCTGCTCCTCTTACCCTCATGGCACCCAGGATATGGGGCTTGTAACTCAGCCAGGTCCAGGCTTTTAAACGTCTCAGAAGAAAAATAATCCAGCAGCAGCATGTGCTGCAAAGGCTGCTGCCAGTTCAGGCAGTTCCATGCACAACTGCATTTATCCGATGGTGGAATCACCAACTTGGAAGTGTTCAAAAACCGTGTGGATGTGGCACTTGGGGATGTAGTTTAGTGGTGGCCTTGGCAGTGCTGGACTTGATGATCATAAATATCTTTTCCAACCTTAATGATTCCGTGATTCTTTGATTTTCCAGCCTCATTCTTTCCTCCTCAGAGCCAAACCCAAGTTTCATGGCAGTGGTGGCTGTTGGGATGAAGGACTTGGCTGAGCTGGGTCCCCACAGGTTCCCCACTCACAGGATTCTTGTGCCCTGCAGGTAAACGGCCACCTGGACTACATGAAGCAGATGGACACGATCCTAAAAGCTGTGGGCATTAAAACCAAGGAATACCAGCCGGTAGAGAAGGGCAGTGGCAGCCTTTTCCCCCCTCTAGCCAAGAAATCCCTGCGAGAAGCGGGCAGCGAGGCTCGGGGAGAGGAAAATGCCAGGAAAGAGGAGGATGAGGCTGGGGGTGAGGCTCTCCCAGCCAGCTGTGCTCACCGACGGGATTCCTCCTGCTCTCTCCTGGGAGAACCCTCTCTGCCCTGCCCGAACTGCTCCCACAGCAGGGCCAGCAAGGACCAGGCAGCAGGAGAAGAAGCAAATTAGAGCAGAGCTGCTCAGCCAGCACTAAAACTGCTGTCACAGCACCAGCTGTGGCACTGGGATTCCCCAGGGATAGAGCCGGCGGAGCTGGAGCTGCAGTTTCCAGCCCCTCAAGTGAGCCTGGAGGGTGGCACTGGTTTGGCACTAGATCAGAGCATTCAGAGCAGCTGCCAACGGCAGCTCCCACGGACGAAAGAGGGCTGGTTCCTGCCTGTATCTGCACTGCTCCTCAGGAATCCGGGACAGATCCCCATCCAAATCCTTACAGGAAGCAACTGTTCCCCCTCAGCACTGCATCCCTATAACTGAGAAGCAAGTGGTTCTGAGGGGATTTTAATCATATCACAGAGGGGGGCTCATCATTAGGAAATTAAAAGTGTTTTTCCACTGGAGATTGGTTTGGTTTGTGGATTTCAGGTGTGTTGAGGGCTCTGCCTGCCCCACTTCGGGCAGATCAGTGTCCACACTTTAGCTGTGCTGGCTGAGGAGGAGAAAGGCTCGGGCTGCCAGGGCACTTTCCAATCTCCAAGACTGTTTTCCTGTCTCCAGGTTGATGGCAATGAGTGTTGGAGGGCCTGTTCCTGTTAGAAACATGCTTGGGACCCTGGGTGACAGCAGCAGGAAAACTGATGGCTTATGAAACTTCCAGGCTCTCCAAGCCCAGCAACCCACTGACACTTTCCTTTTGGGTCCCACACACATCTCCAGCCTTAAAAGCCCCCTTTAGACATATTTTTAATTGGCTTAAAATAAAACCCATACTTGGAATAGGATAAACATGAATCTGTTTCATTTTTACCTCCTTCCATAAAAGTGAATTGGTTCCACCTCTCCCCAGTCTCAGAGCAGAGGAAAGGACACAGCTTTACATCCCCTGCTAGCAAAGCTCCCAAATCGTGTGGGACTGATCCACATCTTCCATAAAAGCTCGTTTTCTGTCCTGTTTTTCTGCTAACCCCAGGAAAATGCATCTGGCAGGAGCATGACAAGTGGATACCTCTGCTCTGAGAACACCCGTGGGATTTTCTGCTTTGCCACAAGTGTGATGGTACAAACACCTCCCACCCCTGATCTGAGGGGACTCAGGAGGGGAATTAGTGCAATTGCACCTTCCAATTTCGGTTCACAGAGGGTCCTCCTCCTCCTCCTGCCTCCCTGATCCAGCACGCCTTCTCCTTCCTTCCCCAGGCTCCCTGCAAACCTTACCTGCAGATTATTTCTCATGGAGTCAAAGACATGGCTGGTTTTGGGGATGATGCTGTAACACAGCAAAGCACAACGGTTTGGGTTCAGTGCCTGGTGTTTCCTCTCCCCAAATCCAATATCCAGGGAGGCTCAGACCTTCTCAGCTCCATTCTGGAGCAGTGATGGGAGACATCTCTTGAGACAGGCCACAGGATCCCACAGTGCTGGGGCTGTTTGCCCGGTCAGTGTTGATGCTGTTGGCTGCAAGGAAAGAATGGGATTTCTCCACTCATCCAAGGCTTTGTCCACAAGCAAACACCTAATTATTACAGTCTTGATGAGACAGTAATAAACTATTGCTTTTGAACATTTGGCTTGAAGAGGTCTCTCTCTCTCTCTGTCCATCTCCCAAGGCTAATTTAGTACCTAAGGGATTTCCAGACTCCATCGTGCATTTTCCTGCTCCTTTTTAACAGGAGTTGTAGTCAAAGTGTGGCTTTATATAAAGCCATTTTGTGGGAAGATGCACATATTGATCTCTATGCTTGACACCAGCCCCAGGCTCTCTGTCCACACATCCAGGGGAAAATGTATTGAACAGTTTGAGGTTTGAACCTGATGAACCCTCGGTGTCTCCCAGTTGCTCATCCCTGACTGCTGGGCCAGTGCCGGCTCCCAGGGGGTACAAAGTACCAAGTAAATGTCAAGTTGGTTATAAAAACTCTTGTTCAGTTCTGGAGCATCCATGGGCAACGTGGAAAGAAAACTAGAGAGATTTGCTTGGAGCATGGCTGTTTCCTCCAGCATTCCATATCCAGGGGATGCTCTGTGTCTGTTTGGATACTGGTGAGTTCCAGGAGCACAGTCAAATCCGTTAATGGGAGCTCAGAATTAGGCAGAAGGCTTGGAGGGGAGGGGCCCAGGGAGGGCACAGCAGCCAACTGCCAGCCCAGCTCTGCAGCCCAAAGGCACTTGAGGAAGAATTTACTAAAATAATTTGTTTTATTGATTTTTTTTAAGAGCCCACTTGCCACATTACTCACTGTTCTCTCTGCTTATGGCTATGGTGGGGGTGGGCTGGGTGGAGGCGGCCTGGAATTGTCATTTAAAAGACAATATTTCTTTAGATTCCTATTTGAAAAGGGGGGAGAGTGTATTTTCTAATTGCATCATCTAAAAATTAACGAATTGTCAGAGAGAAGTGTGGTGGTCCTGTGCCAAGAATGGGAAGCTGTAGGATGGAGCTGTAAGAGGCACTGATCCCATTACTACTGTCACACAACCCACAGAGCCATGACGAGTCGCTCCCCCACACCCCTACAGAACATCCAAAAATCAGTGTTGGACATTCTGCACCCAATTGAACCCCCATAGTGCAGCTCTCCATGATTAAACATGATGGTTTCACTGGGCTGTAACTCACTGCTTAACAGGAAACTGAGACAGACATGCTCCAAGTCAGGAGAGGAAATGCAGCTCCAAGAAGATGTGATGTTCCATGGGCTGAAGCAGCTCCAAACCTCTTATCCATGAGTCATGGGATGTGTTTCCATCACTCCTCTCAGTGCAGTGGGTGAGATGGAGGTGATCCGTGTGTGAAAGCTGAAAACCAAACCTTGGTTTAAGTTTAGGGGGACAGAGGATCTGGAATCCAACGTTCAGACTAACCAGAATCACAAAATATGCTGAGTTGGAAGGGACCCACAAGGATCATCGAGTCCTGGCCCCCTTGGGATACCCCAAGAATCCCACCACCTTCCTGAGAGTGTTGTCCAAAGGCCTCAAGAAGGGTGAGGGACTGGTGCCAGTGAGCAAAGGAGGGATGGAAGAGAGAGAAACGAGGCAAGTCAATTCAGCAGTGACACGTGGCTGAACCTACCCATAGCAGTGCCCCTCCACAAGCTGCACGGTGCACTGGAAGAGGGAATTGGAGCAGCAGCACATGGGCTGCTTGTGTGGGGCTGAGGGATCCTTCCCAGCACATGGAGCTCTGTGACCCCACTCAGGCCACGGGGGTGCTGAGCTGCCCAACCTGCGGCTCCGCATCCGGGGGCTCTGCGTCCCACAGGCTGACAGAGGGGGCGTGCGAGGTCAGGGGGGCTGGCAGCAGGTTGGGATCATTCCCCAGCGCCCTGGAGTCAACTGAGTCAGTCTCAGCCTGCAAGGTGAGGATGTTCTTGAGGGACGTGGCGGCACGGGCTCCGCTGTTGGAGTTCCTCATGGAGAAGGAGATGGCACTGGGCTGGGGATCCCCCGAGCGCCGGCAGCAGGGCAGGAATTTGCCCATGGCTCTCTTGAAGTCCCTCATGAAGAGCGGGTAGATGATGGGGTTCATGGTGCTGTTGCAGTATCCCAGCCAGGTGAGCACATCGAAGAATCCGGCTGGGACACAGCCACAGACAGCCTGGAGGGGCACAGCAGGGATTAGCAGTGTCTCCCACCTCAGCCCCGATCCAGAGCAGTTCCCCAGGCACACCAACATTCCCCTTTCAAAGGAAACCTCCAAATCCCTTTTGAAGGGTTTTTCCTTGCTGTTGCTCCCTGGGGAAGTTGCATCTTTGCTCCCAGAGGTGTTCCAGCAAGATCTTCAGATTGAACCCAGATGGATCCCGAGTGAAAAGCTTTTGAAAACCCAACACAAAACCCCCACAGGTTCTTACCTGCATCACATTGGTAATGAAGAAGGGGAGCCAGGCCACAAAGAACATGCCCAGGAGAATGCCCAGGGTCAGACTGGCCTTCAGTGCCTTCTTGCTGTGCTTGTTGGTGAACCTCCTGCTCTCGCTGCCGGCCATGGGCTGGCTTGGGACACAGGGAATCTGTAGCAGGAGACAAGGAATGGTGATGAGCCTCCCCAGACTGGAGCTGCCAGCACCACTGCCAGCCTCTGCCCAAGAAAAGTGAGGTTCGGTGATCCAAATCCTGAAAAAACCCTGCTATTAATTCCCTTCTCCAAGAGACAGGAGCAGGGCATGCACCGCAGGGCCTGAACTGCAAATTAGGGAGAGGAAACAATAGAAACCCTCAACATTACCTTATTTTTTTTACTGTAAAATAGGAGGTTCTCACTAGGCTGTTCTTTATAGAAAAACTCAGCTCAGTCCATGTTTTGGTGAGGACAAAGCCCTAAAGAGGCAGCTCCAACTGCTGATTACAGCAACAAACTAACTATGTTTATAAAAGCGGGAAACATTTCAGCCTAGAAACACCATAACTCAGCCCTCCATCCCCCCTGCAATCTAAAATGAACTGATTATCTCAGCCCTCCACTGTAATTAAATGATGCTCCTTTGCCACTCAGCTTCCTGCCCCAAAAGAGAGCAAAATCTGGTTAAAAGATAAAATTTGAAGGTTCCCTGGCTGACAAGGTTCCCTGAAAACCTTGTTTTCAGCCAATTTGGGGCTCCAAGAAACCTTTTGGGCCACTGGCCTTGGCTGAAAGACAGGTGGTGGATGCTGGTTTTCCTCAACATGACAAAGCCCCTGAGCATCCCCTGATCCAGTGAATGTGTTTGTGGAGTCCAAAAACCTGACATCCAGGGAGAAAATAAATTCTTTACGATATTGACTGTTTATTCTTTGATTGTCCTTTTCCTTTTGACCGTCTGGTGCATCTTATCACATGTGGGAGAGCTGGCCAGAGTCCTGTCTCTGCTCTTAGAGTGAACAAACTAAATCAAGGTATTTAAAGACAGTTAAGTTTGCCTTTTCCCTGTAGGATATGTGGTCAATAAAGCCTATTACAGGGAATTAGAGCTGTTAGATTTAGTGGCAGTTACCTTCTCCTGAAGAAATACAAACAAGTGCAGTCACGTTTTGGTTATAAAACCCACACGCGAAACCAGTGATCGCACAAGAAGGGGTTTGGCAGTTCCTGTTAACCAGGTAACAAAAATAGAAGCTTCTGTTCAAAATAAGATGCTCTCCAGAGTTTGGCATTTGCTATTAGTTGAAATCCTTCTCCCCCATATGTCTCACACCCACCACGGCCAAGACTTACGAGTGGAAAATCAGATATAAGATTAAAACCCTCAGGGATGACGCCAGCCAAGAGGGGGGCTAAAGTCCCTTTATTTTGCATCGCTGAGCGTTTTTGCCTGAATCTTATAATTTCTCTGCTTCTGCTCATGCTGTTTGTGTGCTCCAGAGCAGCCTCTAAGCTCTCCATTGGTGGGACAGACACAGGGCACTTCAGAGGGCGTCAGCGAGGTGGATGTTGCCCAAAATCTCCCTCCCTGTGGTCTAGTTGTCAAAGCCAGCTCTGGCTCTAAGGTTGTCCAGAAGGCAGAAACACCCCAGGCACCCAAACTGTGGGGTCTGCAAAAAACAAGGTCCCTGTGGGCACCTTACCTGTGGCATGGTGTCATCGGTAGTGGTGCTGGTGGCCACGTTGGAGGCGAGGGAAGCCACCTGCACCGCCTGCTTGCGGGCAGCCAGGAGGATGCGGCAGTAGGTGAAGGAGATGGCAGCAGATGGGAGGAAGAAGGTGAGGCAAGAGGCGACCAGGGCGTACGGCAAACTGACCACCAGCCGGCACTGATCTTCATCCCCCCGCAAGGTGACGTTCAGGGAGAGCTCCTCAAACTCCAGCTTGTGCCATCCCATCTTGATGGGCAGGAAGGAGGCCAGCGCAGCCACGGTCCAGGTAGCCAGGATGAGCCAGAGGGCCCTGCAGGAGGTCATACGCAGCTTGTACTTGAGCGGGGAGATGATGAGCAGGTACCGGTCCAGGCTGATGATGCAGAGGTTGAGGATAGAGGCACTGCAGCACATGACATCGAAGGAGGCCCAGAGGGAGCAGAAGTCCCCCCGCAGCACCCAGCGCCCGTAGAGCTGGTTGAGCATGGCTGGGGGCATCACCACCAGCCCCACCATCAGGTCCGACATGAACAGGGACACCAGGAAGTAGTTGGAGGTGTTGCGGAGGGAGCGCTGAGTGATGA